GGGGACATGAGAGGACGTGGGGCGACATGGGACCCAGGACACGGGGACACGGGATGTGTGGGGACACGTGGGCATGCTTGGGGACACGTGGGGACCTGCGGGGACACGTGGGCACCCCCGTGGGGACACGGGGGGATCCGTGGGGACACGTGGAAGAGGTGGGGATGCGGACACACGCGTGGGGACCCGTGGGGACGTGTGGGGCCACGGGTGCCCCCCGCCGCAGGGCCCAGCTCCGTGGGCCTCGACTTCTCGCTGCCGGCCGTGGAGCACGTGTACGGGCTGCCCGAGCACGCCGAGAGCCTGCGGCTGCGCCCCACCGAGTGAGCGGGGACACGGCGGCGCGCGGGGACACGCGGTGATGAGGGCGGCGCGCGGGGACACGCGGTGATGAGGGTGGCGCGCGGGGACACGCGGTGCCGCGGGCGGCGCGCGGGGACACGCGCTGACGCGGGTGCCACGCGGTGCCACGCGGTGATGCGGATGCCACGCTGTGCCACGCGGTGACACGGGTGCCACGCGGTGACGCGGGTGGCGCGCGGTGCCACACGGTGACACAGGCGCCATGTGGTGCCATGTGGTGCCACGCGGTGACGTGGATGCCACGCGGTGCCACACGGTGACACAGGCGCCACGCGGTGCCACACGGTGCCACGTGGTGCCACGCAGTGCCGCGCGGTGACGCGGATGCCATGCGGTGCCACGCGGTGACACAGGCGCCACGCAGTGCCACGTGGTGACACAGATGCCACGCGGTGCCACGGGGTGCCACGCAGTGCCGCGTGGTGACGCAGGCGCCCCGCGGTGCCCCGCGGTGCCCCGCGGTGCCCCGTGGTGCCACGCGGTGACACAGGCGCCACGCAGTGCCACGTGGTGACGCAGATGCCACGCGGTGCCACGGGGTGCCACGCAGTGCCACGTGGTGACGCGGGCGCCCCGCGGTGCCACGTGGTGACACAGGTGCCACGCGGTGCCCTGCGGTGCCCCGCGGTGCCCCGTGGTGCCACGCGGTGCCGCGCAGTGACGCGGGTGCCCCTGTCCCCGCAGGGGCGGCGAGCCGTACCGCCTGTACAACCTGGACGTGTTCCAGTACGAGGTGCGCAGCCCCATGGCGCTGTACGGCGCCGTGCCGCTGCTGCTCGCCCACAGCGCCCGCCGCTCGCTCGGCATCTTCTGGCTCAACGCCGCCGAGACCTGGGTGGACATCGGCGCCGGCGCCGCCGGCAAGGTGCGCGGGGACAGGGGGACACCATGGGGACAC